CGGTCCTCAGCAAAATTTCCATTCTTCTTCCGAGTTTTTCTGGTTTAGCCATTGTGGTTTACTGGAGCTCCGAGGATACGCTGGCCAAAGTCTGCCCCTGGTCGTCACCATGACAAGCAGTCGTCGTCCTTGTGAACCGAAGGGAGATTTGCCACCGTGCTATTTGTTTGATACCAGGACGGTGGTGGATCTTGGTATTGGTTTACTCTTAGCTAGGCTTGCTGAAGAAAAGGCCGAACTCTTTCCCAGCTTGGGAGGCAGCGGCGACTGAGCGGATGAATTCTCCAACTTTATATCAGAGCCCATTGAAATGGTTATATACCTATCCTTCGTATTAACGTTTACGATGTAATGACTAAGTCCTTGAATTATAGCAAATTAAGATGTTAATACTGTTCTAATCATTGTTATCTTCCATTCTAGTTTACTATTCTTATAAGAGTGTTATTTTATCCCGAATTTAGTTGCATTAGATTCTTAGGAACCGACTTTTCTTGAAGCTCGGTAACAAAAGTATTTTTTCTAGATGACTGAACTGACGCCAAGTTGGTACAAAAACTTTTATTCGTTTACGTTTATGTGCCTTCTGCTTCGTCATAACCTTATTGATCGGAGTCCATGGTCCACAATGTGGATTGATATGGCTCTGAAGAAGGCGAAGGCAGTGGAACGGTAGCTGAATAAAAGTTTTTATACCAACCTGTTGTCAGCTTAATCGTTTAGAAAGTTGTTATATAGGTATCTGGCAAGCCTTGACGAGGAGAAAATCAATGAACTCCGACAGGAGATCGCTGAGAAGTTAGGTACGTATTCTTTACTACATGTTTTCTATGGTCTTTTTTGTTTCTCTCTGTATGACAACTGTTTACCATTTTAGCTCCGGATAACATTGATTTCCTCAAGCACAGATATCAAATGAAGAAAGAAGCAACTAAGGCTATGCCAAAAGGTACTGTTCTAGTTCGTACTTGAGTGTATTTAATTTGACGCATTTACAGCCGACAAAGACGGTCTCTCAGCACTACTATTTTTTTTTACACAGTGTATTGTAAAATGCTTAAAGACTATACTAAGTTTCCGACGCAATCCATCATTGGCACGCATTTCCCACACAATCAAAAAGTGCGCCCGCCCATCTAGACGCATTGAAAACCTTAAATGACGTATTGTTTCGTGAGGAGAACATTTTCAGTTTCGAAATATAAAGCATCTCGTGAGTCGAAATTTGAACCACATCAACCTTCATCTGTGGAGTCGTCTGCGGTCTCTTCAACTACTGTTTTGAAAGATATAGTCGATCACCTTGAGGTTCTAGACGAGTTTGGTGACCGTAGCGATGAGGAGAAGTATAACCGGATTGCAGCTGTAAATCTTACACTTTTTTAAAAATATGGTTTTACAATTTAATCTGGCTATTTGGAAGCGTGTTTTTACACAGAAGTTGCTTGCAACATAGAGTTTTTGTACCTTTTTAATTCAAAATGATGGGGTTGTTGGAAACACGTTCTCATCTGTAATAGGTGGTTTCTTAGTTCTTTTTTCCTTCTGTGAATTTTGCTCCATGGGAGTTGAGAATTAAGTGCGAATAGACGCGTTTGGAACCTTTCTCTTTCCTTAAAATCTGTGAGTTTTCTTTAAATAACTTCTTATCTGTACAGATCTATTTATTTCTTCTAGGATGCAGTTCAACTTGATTTTGCTACAAAATGTATGCGAACTGTTGTTTCTCGGCAGCAAAAGAATGCTGTGAAGTTATTTGAAAACTGCAAGATCGCTCCATCCGGGTAAGATTTATACCTGCTATTACACTGTCTTCATTATTAGCAGTTGAATTTTACCCTTTTTTGAGGATACAGACTTATAATATTTGTCTCTAACGTAATAGTCTAGTTTTCTAGTTTTATAAGTCTAGTTTTATCTTCCAGCTTGTAGTCATATTTGAGAACTTTATAGACTTTATAAGAAGAATTGGAACTTAATGGAATCAATAGTTGTGTGCGTGTACACAACAGAATACAGTTTTATTAGTTCAACTGCAGTGGAATTTAAGCTCCATAATCGCGCTAATAAAATGGCCGCAGAGCCTTCCATCACTCCGTAGTCGGCAAATTGACACCAGAGTTGTCTGGGAGGATAGCAACACTGGCTCGACACATCGCCAGGCCATCGCGAGTCATTGTGAAAGCCAAATATTCATTCAAACACCTCTAATGACTTTTATGAATTCGAATGCATGGCTCATTCCTCAGGTATTGATCATCGAGAGCTTTATCCTTTATCCTCTTAATCCCGCTGATACTTTATAGTTGTATTTACCTGCACCTTTATTTTCAAAGGTTTTCCCAGGAAGTATTTGC